ACCGCCTCGGGAAGACTAAACCGCAGCGGCTGGCATCGGTTCGGAACATCCCCCTCACCTGCCCGAACCCACCTGCTTGTGCTGACCCCCCTCCCCAACCTACCCTCGAGTGAGGGACAAAAGATACAGATCACGTATCTGACCGCTGGGTGTGCAAAGTTGGAGCTTTTCAGGTAAGTAAAAAGCTCTAGGGCGGGTTTTCGCACCATCACGTAGGCTTCGTTGAACGTCTTGATCTGAGAAAAGGAACAGAACGTGAAGCAGCAGGTGGGTGCAGCTGTCCCGGCGCGACTCCGCAGGCTCTCCCCTCGCCTGCCGGGCTGGGCGCACCAGCCTCGAAGGTTATCGGGTCGGGCAAGCGTGGCTCGCTCTTTGGCAAAGCCAGAACGACCACCCCGATGATTTTCTTGCCCTGCGTGTGCCTGGACATGGTTTCCCGGCTTCGCTGCTCCATCACGTTCCCAGAGTGAGGCGAGGCCGTGAATCGAAAGGCAATCGCCAGGAATTACTAACTCACAGATAGGAAATCTCTTCCTGAACCCGAGCAGTCTGTGGGAGCTGCTTACGAAGCCTGACCCAGCCCCAGCCTGACCTGTCTCAAACCAGAAATCGTTCTACCAGTCTATGAAATCAAAAGGCAAGATTTCTTTAGTCGCCGACATAAACTCATGTCATGAGATGGCCCTTTCTGTACTGAAACTGTGCAAAACACTTCTGTAATTATTATGAAATTAGATGAAAAATATCGGGTAGAACGCTGGCCAAGGTGGAATCCCCCCACCCATCCACCACTGTTCTGTTTAGATTGACTTCTTTTACGGGTAGAAAATAACAGTAAGGACCGGGAATAACTGCCTTCCTGCAGCACGTCCCTCTAATTCCAACAGGAGAGCACTGGAGTTACCCAGGACATCTACAAATCTGCTTGAGGACAAAGTACCTGCTGCTGGAACCGGGGGGGCAGCCCGTGGGGGAACACAGCTTTCACCTCCTCCAGCGGGATGCTGTAGTGACGGCCCTCGTGGTGCTCCGCGTGCTTGGCCTGCGAAGGTAAAACGCAAACCGTAACGCTCAGGGGAGGGCGATTCCTCCTCTCTGGATGCAGAAGGGCCCTGAAAACGGAACCGGGAGGGAACGCTTCCTCAAAGCAGCTCCTTCAGCCTGGCAGATGCTTGGGAAGATAAGGACAGCGTGCCCGGCAGGAACCAGGGAGGGGATTCCTTCAGCTTCTCTGTGAAGCCTTGTCTTTCGCAGGCCCTCTGCTTCGTGAATTGATCTAATCTTCCGTTATCCTGCTTGTACGTCTGCCCGCCACGATACCCTAACAGCCACAGGATCCCCTTTCGCCACATGTGCTGGATGAAGGCTGGGACCAAATCCCATCCTCTGGTTTGTTCTTTGCTGTCAGGAACTCCTGACCTGCCCTCTGCCTCCTCAGCCCATGCTGGCTGCTCAGGAACTCACGGGTGGGTTTGGGGGCAATAATTTCAAGTCCCCTGTTGTGACAGAAGCAGTCGGTGTTATCCCTTCGTCAGCTTGGCGCCGTTCTGCACTTATTTCTAGCGGCTGCTTTAACATCCCTGACCGTGTGCTCTAAGAAGCTGTTGTTACTGGCATCTGAAAACCTAATACCCGTTTCATGCCTTGTCACACATCCTTGGGTTTTTGCCTTCGTTATTCTATCTTCCTGCCATGCAACACTCACAAAGCACTTTTTTATTTACTCTGAGTTTTTGCATCTTGTCTAATGAGGACAGAATGTAGAGACGCTGTTCTACAGGACTTCCTGGGTGACTTTTAGCAACTTTTAGGCCAAGCTTTGTTGGACTTTTTTAGCAGCTTTGTGCCCAGCTTGGAAGCTCGTATCATGTTCCACTCTATGCTTTCTGCACTCTTCTATGGATTTAAAGTAAGAAAAATCTTCCTCTTTATTCTTGCGCGTGCCAATCCCTCGCTTCCATTTTGGTTGAGGTGGAATCTGAATAGAACAACTTTGTCTTCTTTGCTTTACAGAGTAACGGTTCAGGAGAAGTAGTTTTATTTATTATTCAGAAAGAAAAAGCAGCAGTCATCATTTCCACCTGGGGGCTGATCCAGACTTGCCCTGTATTCCTGATTACCTCTGGTGTGGACCCAAGGCTTAACTTCCTGATGCCCAGAACAGGTGAGAGAGACGGCGCTGGGCTGGGCTCAGTCGCTCACCTGCGCGGTCTGGCTGACAAACCCCCCAGGTTTGCCAAACTCTTTGGTTGGTAACTTGAGCGAGCTGCTACCGGAGCTGCCTCTCTGGTGTTTACTGGTCAGTCAATCTGAGCAAGGGGAAGAACGTTTTGAAGACCTGGCTGGTCGATAGCTCCTCTGGTGCAAGATGTTACTTGGAGATGGGCTGAAGAGGAGACCGATTTAAGAGAGAATTCAGCCTTTCTCCGAGCAGAGCTGTATTTCAAACTCGGGGCTGGATTCCCTGGAGTTTTCCTGCACGTATCAGACACAGACTAAGAGCTAAGTGTTATCAGTGGGCTCAAAGAGAACTCCAGAGACCGTTCCCATTCTCAGTTTCGTCCCCAACGTGCTGCATAACCTTGGGCAAATTCCTTCACTGTTCAGCTCCCACAGCTGCAAAGTGGGTCAGCGTCTCTATCCTCATGTTTAGTCACTTTGAGTTTTGCTAATGGAAAGGTATAGAAAAGCGAAGTCTTATTAAAAATTTAGTCTCATCTGGTCTCCTTAATTCATTTTTAATGAGACTTGACGGTGCAGAAAGAGCTATCGGGTTCGCGAGCCGGCGGCGGCGCACAATCCGCGGCGCAGCGAGCGCGAGGCGCGCCGTCCATCAGGTAAATTAACGAGCGATGGCGGTTGGCGCCAAAAATCGGGCGCTTTTTTTTTGAATGCCAAAGCCCGTTGCCTGGCAACGTCAATGGCAGCACAGGACAGGGGGACAATCCTTGCCATCTGGACTCTTCTGAGCAATCTATAGAGACACTCGCGTCACGTGAGCGCGATCATCTGCACGCCGCTGTTTCCATAGAGACCCCCGAGGAATCGGTACTGAAAGACTCCAATTACAGAGGCAGCAGAAAAGCACCTCAAAGGCTGATTTCCATTCATTTCTCCCACCTCATTTCGGTGCTCGAGACGGAGCCCGTGAGGCTGGAATTACGATGCCGCAGAGCTGCGCCGAGGTCATCTGGGCTGCGGTTTTTATCTCCCTTCGCAGCCAGTTTGGGGAAGAATAACCCCGGAGCTGAAATTAATGGTGCCTGATGACACGCGAAGCCCCAGCTTCTACAGCACAGAGTATCCGCTACGACAGCCAAGGAATCGATCCTTGTTCCCGGGAGCTTTCAGGCAGAGAACCAGCCCTGTCTTGTTGAAACCCAGGCACAGCCACGGCCTGATTTCCCAAAGGCTGGGGATCACAGTCTGTTATTACGCTCGGGTACTCCCTTCCCTTCCCTTTATAACCCCAGTACCCTCCTGGCTCCAGCACCTCCGCAGGCAGACTGGTGGAATCTGGGCAATCTGCGTCTGACAACAACTGTGGCAGGAACTCACCGGGTCGTTCTCGCTGGTATAGAAAACCTCTCTTGGTGTTTCAGTCAGTGTTTGGGCATCCTGGCTGGCAAGGGAGCTGAAGCAATCCTTGGCTGTGGTATGCAGGGCGTACCCGTGGTCCAGCTAAGGGAAGAAAAAGGCAAATAAAATTCTCAGCAGTCAACGATTACCAGTTAAAAAGAAATTAAAAGATTCCACTGTTTTGTGCGTCGCACGCACATTAGGATGGGGGGGAGGCAGCACGCGATCCCGAATGGGATCCATCATCAGACTGGGAATTCCACCAGGAGAACCCACATGCTTTGGAACTCATTTCCCATCGAGGCGCCGGCTTCTAAACCATCTCCATTCGCTGAGCAAACGCTGCGCTGATAGGAGCGAAGCCGCCCGGAGAGCCGAGCCCCGTACCTGGAAGAGTTATCCCCTCCGAGCACGAGAAGAGCCAGGAAGGCTCATTGCTGGGAAGTTCCCACAGTGTTTTGCTGCCTTTGCCGAAGAATAGCAGTTAGCACCTTGAAAATTCAAGCTGTCTCATAATCCATAATCACCTCAGTTATTGAGGGATTAGTGCCGTGCTGCCCACTATTTGATATTTATAATCACATTCCCCGCGCTGATTTTCCTCACTGTGTCCCTGCATACAGGCTCTTTCATTATAACAGACACAGCCGAGAAACCGAAACAGCCAGCTAAGCCGATTAATTCTTTTTTTTCTTCTTTTTTTTTCTGATGAGGCCAGACTGCTGGAGCACGCCTGGAAAGCCTCGCCAAAATAGGCCAAAAAAAGCAAGCAGTAGAAGGACAAGCCCTCGATTCTGCTGCGGTGAAAGAAAATACAAGCATTTGTCAACGAACAAAAAAGTGCAGCGTCCAAACACAGGCTGCGACCAAAAGGAGCAAAACCGAGCGTCGCCCTGTCAACACAGCAAGTAGTTTCCTATTTTGTCTGCCGGCCTCAAGGAGAGAAGCCATAAACTGAAGTTCAGAGTCAGGAGCAGCTGTTGCAGTTCTCCGCGGCGTGACGCAGTTCTGCCGCCATCCGAGTGTTCCTCGGGGCGCTCGTCTGAAAGCCACGAGGCCTCGGAGGGAAGCGGAGAGTCAGGTCACCCCCCAGCCAGCCTTAAACACACAACAGACCCCGGAATCGCGCTCTCCTTCTGGGGCAAGGAATTAAGCCTGTTTGTACTCGACACTAAATATTAACATAATGAACTGCAGCAGCATAAACGTGGAAAATCGCTCAACGCTTCTGCCATCGCGTTCTTCTCTTGTTCCCACAAGGATCTTTTCCTCCTCAAATCCAAGTGATCCATTAGGACGTCTTGTTTCGCTACGTTTAGTTTTAAGCCCACGGATGTGACTTAATTTACAGCCTGGAGCAAAGCACCGAGATGCAAACTTAATACATGAATAACTAGTGTCTTGTTACCTGTTCACCTAGAAAAGGTCAAGCCCTGAGTCACTCGAAGCCTGGACACAGAGTCCCTCAATTTTCTTTAAACGTGGCGCATCCCTTCCCTGAGTTCTGGGGCCGTGAGCTTTGCTCGCTTCAAAGGAAAGGCGAGCTTCCTGCTCTGTGGGCAGCCTTTCTCTGGAATCCCTACAAATCCTCCGTCCTGACCTGGTAACAGCGAAGGGAAATGAAGCAAGGATTAACTTCTTGCTCTTGAGCGTGTTCGGCTTTTATGTGCCTCTAGATACAGCCCACGACCAGCTGAACGACACTTGGTCAGAGCAGTATTACCAAGACAGCTTTTTCGAAAGCACCATCTCCTAAGATCAGCAGGAGTTGGATTCTCTGGGGTGCAAAAGCCAGTTCCTAACAGGTTCTAGGAAGGGAGTAGAAGACAGGATGCAAATCTGAAACAGACGTTGTCTCGAAGTCCAGTCCTCTGCTCTTGCAGCCGAGTACCCAGAATTCCTGTTTGTCCATCCACAGAACAGGGCTCATATTTAAATTACTACAGCTTTTTCCTAGAATAATACCAGCCTAGAACATCACTTCTTCAAGCCTTAAGCACACGCCTCCCTCAAAACCACGCCGCCTTGAAGCACTTTGCAGCATTTCCTTTGTGGGCTGTAGAAGCAGCTTCCAAGTATCTGGGGACCTGAAATCCTTCCCTCGCTCTCCGAGGCGCTACGAGATCAGCACAAGCTCCCAGAGTAGTGACTCCAACACCTCCTCAGCTACCTGGCGTTTGAGAGACACGGGTTTGCGCTGCAGGAATTACCGTGTCACCCTTTACAAAATCCAGGCAGAAGCTCATCTGCCTTTTCAACAGGCTGCAAGGATGCCTTGGAGTGACCCGCACCACCGCTGCCAACACCTTACACCTTCTGACTTCATAGCAGCAACGTGCTACTCGGTCCCTCCTCCTGCACAAAAGACTTATCACCGATCCCCTCGGCTCCCCGTGGCACCCCAGTTACACACACCTACACCTCTCTGGCTCTTTACTCTGCGTAGTAAATCCTAACCCGTACATGAGGGCCTCCCATTTTCACATCATCGTCTACCGGCGGTTTATCCTGGGAGCGCAGAGTGGATTTTACAGCAAGTTCCCATCTGCCAAAGGACAGAGGCGCCTCACTCGGATCCCTGAAATGGCAGCGAGCTATCACGTGGTGCGTGAGATTAATCACCGAGTCATGTGCCGTAAGGTGGAGCTGTTCCTACATGTTTCCGCGGATCTTCCTCTCGAAAAGCCTCTTGATTCCATCGAGGCTGCCACCATAAGCACAGCGCCGCGCAACCCCGACCTCGTCTCTGGAAAGGAGCAGTCAGGCAGTCCATCCTCCTTAACGGCCACGCATCAGGACGTAGCAGTGAGAAGAAAGCATTTAAGAGGTGACAGTGAACAAACCGACTGAAATTCTTTACTACGAGGAAGTCCTTCCAGATCTGTGATGTTAACTCCCTCAGCTGCTTGTAACAGGAGGAAGCCGGAGCAGTAACGTCGTGCGGCCGTAGCGTTGCGGCAGAGCTAAATCACGACACCCACCCAGAGCACCGAGCCGTCCCCAGCGAAACGAGCTTCCCACACGGGCTGTGGGGGAGGCTGCGGCTCCTGTCCTCTAGAAAGGGCTTTCCCCTTTGGTCATTCCAGGAGCACGGGGCAAGGAGATTCTCCGTTTTCTGAGAAACACTTGCACTGAAGATGTAGAATTCCAGCGTCCCGGACGTGCAGAACACGCTAAGCTTTGGTCTCGTAACAAATGTCTCCTTTACGCCAAGGATCCAGGCTGGCTCGCACATCTTCTCTCTCCCTCCGGCCAGCGGAGAGGAACGCAGGAGCGATCGCACACGCCGGCTGCCTCTTTCCTCCCAGAGCGAGAGTTTATGTGCCCGGCTTGTAGCAGGCACTAAGTTTTAAGGTGAGGAATGCAAGAAGGGTCTCCGTTTTTACATCTGTGAACTGTCATTCCAGTTCTCAGGACAGCTGAAACATTGGGAGCAGCATCTTACCTTTAGAGGACGGTGGACGAGTCGTGTCAGGCTTCTCAGCATTTTTCCTGCAGAGACAGAAGCAGATTTTGGGGTTTTGTTTGTTATGCTTAATGTATCTTATGCTGGGAAAGAACAGTTTTTGCCCAAAGAGCTTAAAGTCTAGGCACACAAATAATTCAGACACAGTGTCAGCAATACAGCTGAACATGGGCAATCAGCATCATTTGCCCAATAAAATCAAATATTCTATTAATTATGTTGCCTTTTTTTCAGAGAGACGCAAAAAACCCCCACCAAAACACCTTACTTTATAAATAAAGCTATTTCATTCATCTAGGGCAGATTCTTTAACTGGGGAGGGGCATCAGTTTTGACTGCAGCTCTAAAGAGACTCTCAGGAACAGCGATTATTTTGAAGAAGCCCGAGTAACGCTGACACTTGAAGATGCTTCTGTGTTTCCAGCTTCATGCTAATCATATAACACCATATCCACTGCTCAGCCACCTTTGATTACAGCACGAGGAAAAACCCAAAATAAAACCCTCGAGCACTTACGATGCAAAAATAAAGGCGGAAAGGCAAGTAAATTAGTGAAATAAGTTCCTCCCTTAGGAGAAAATAATGGCAGGATCTAACAACGACGGTTTAAGGATTCTTGGTTGCCGTAAGTTACCCAGCGCATTCGAAGCGAGATAATTACCGGGTAATTCCTCCGCAGGAAGAGCTGTCTTAGTGGAGTCAGTCGTTATCGGCAGCGTTAATGCCAAGCAAGCCAAAGACGATTTACCTACGTCGAATGAGAAATAACTCCACGCTGAACAGCAAAGAGGCTTTACATTCTCTCCCCAAACAATCAACACACAAAATATATACACTTAAAAAAACAAGTCCTGGTTATATTCTTTCAAGAATAAGTGAAAATCTCAGCCTGTGGAGGCTTTTTCAGTCATTTTAATTCACCATGCCGGCACGGACAGCGGAAGAGGAAGGAGAAATTCCATTCCGCGTGGGAACATATCCCATTTGTTTCAAAAAATCTACTAGCAAAGAAAGTAGGGATGGGAAAGCTGTTTTCTCAAACACAACTAGAAAAAGTAAACCATCACAAACCCCTGAAAATTTCTGTTTATTCTGGGCGCTCCTAATATTCTGAAAGAATTCTCGAATGGCTACTTCAACACATGTTGTGAGGGCTCTTCTCTACGGTTTGTGGTGGGAGAGGAGCTTTAGCAGAAGCGGGGATTGAAACTGCGGCCGCTTTGCTGAGTTGTGGCTCAAGTTAAAGAGCTGC